CCCCTTTTCTTGTCCCCTTTCCATCCCCTTTTTGTCCCCCTTTTGCCCCCTTTTCCCTCCCATCTCCTCTTTTGCAGTCTCATACTTCATTTCAAAATTAATTTCCCAGACCCCTGCCTGGATCATCATCTCTCTTAAAATCTTACCAATTATTTCAAACCCATTTTTATAACAGAAGGAGCTGTCCTGTGTCCTCTTTCCTCCCCAGAATGCACTCCCAGCTTTGGTCATTATTCCCAGGGGAGGTTCTTGCACAGTTTAGGTGGCTTTGCCTCATTGTCTGCACCAGAGGACAAAGCCTGAAGGTTTAGGTTGAGGATCAGGAGGAATTTCTTCACAGGAAGGGTGATCAGAGGTGGGAATGAACTGCCAGGAAGGGTTTGGAGGTGTCCATGGAATCCTGGATGGGGATTTGCCATAGGTTGGATTTGACATCTCAGACATCTTTTCCACCCTAATTGGTTTGGTGACTTTGTGATTTACTTCCAGTTCCTGGTTCATCTCTTTTTTCTCCCTTCCTTCAAGTGTTTTTTTCTCTTCAGTTCCATCTCTTTTATTAGCTTGCCTTACACTTCCAGTCTTGTCCAGTCCAGTAAAATCAGGATGCCCCAATGAAGAAATGACTGGCATCTGACTTCAGTGATTTAGAATGCTTTATTAAGCATTCTAATGCTTAATAAAGAATTGCTTTAGTAAACTATATTATATTACATTATACTGCACTACATTAAAGAAATGTTGGACTACAAAAAATACTAAAGAAAACTCGTGACAGTCAGGGCACAGCTTTTTCCAGTTGTCCAAGGAAACAAAACAATCCTCAGCAAAATCTAATTCACAAATCACTTCAGGTAAACAATCTTCTTAACACATTCCACATGTGCAAAGCAACAGGAGCAGAGAATAGAAATAATAATTGTTTTTCTCTTTTTCTCTCTGGTTTTTCTTTTTGTTTCCTTCTTTCTCCAGGAAAAAAACTTTGAGCAAGAAAATGATTTCTCTCTGTTCAGAGAATGTAAATGCCACAGTGCAGGAGTTTCCTGGACTCCTCCAATAACAATCTTTCTTTTTCTAAAATTAACAAGCACATTTCCTGGCCAGGCTGCAGTCCTTCCTTTCCTGGAACTGT